GGTGCACTCTGAAACACTAATTGACCTGTTTATTACAAATTTTGAAACAGATAAAATTAAAGCTGGAACTCTAACATGCAATATAAGCGATCACCTTCCAATATTTATGTGCATAAATACGCGCTTATACAATGAAGCTAATAGCAGTGAATCATTTTTGGTTCAGAGCATAACACCAGACAGTCTGGATGCCTTCAGAAGGGACATTTATGAAACAAATTGGGATTCAATTTTTATTGCCGATGATGCCAACATTGCCTATGATAGCTTTCTAAATACAGTTAAAACTATTTATAAACGACACTTTCCTTACAAATCAATAAAAACGTCGAAAAAAAGAATCAGGAAGCCATGGATAACTCCGGACTTGCTTGATAAAATACGCATAAAAAACTTGCTATATCAGAAATTTATCAAAACGAGAGATCCATTACAGCTTTCAAGGTTGAAATCATACCGGAATCAATTAACAAAGCTACTAAGAAATGCTAAGGCTCTTTATTACACTAACGTTTTCCAGAAACAGTCTGGTCATGTGGATCAAGTCTGGCGGACGTTAAACTCTCTAACGGCTAGCGGTTCAACACAACAGCATGTTGAAAAGATCGTTCATGAAGGAGTGTCCTTGACTGGACGCTCCCTAGCCAATACTTTCAGCGACTACTTTGGAAACTTGGTTAGTGACAGCAGCAATGCCAATGAATCTTGGAAATACATAGACTTCTGAAATAAGCATTCAATTTTTTTAGAACCGGTCACAGATTCTGAGGTGTATTCTGTTTTTATGCAGTTAAAAAATAGCAGTTGTTGTGACTGCGATGATTTACAAATTCGACCGATAAAGTATGTTGTCGACATATTAACACCATGTCTGTGCTACATTTTTAATTTATCTCTAACAACTGCAATTTCTCCTGCCGGAATGCAGAGAGCGAAAGTATCTGTTTTGCATAAGAAGGGAGATAAGAACATACTCAGTAACTATCGACCTATTTCTATTCTTCCCGTATTTTCAAAATCACTAGAAAAAATTATACAGGCTCGTTTAGTACAGTTTTCCGATAAACACAATTTGCTAACCTCCGCACAGTTTGGGTTTAGAAAAATCTATCAACTGAGTTGGCACTGCTGGAGCAAAAAGAATTCATCCTGAAAAACTTCGATAAAAGAAAGCTGGTTCTGGGTGTATTTATCGACTTTACAAAAGCATTTGACTACATAAATCACAATATATTACTTCGTAAACTTGATTTATATGGTATTCGAGGTTTGCCTTTATCGCTTTTGAGGTCCTATTTACACCATCGTAAACAGTACGTTTCCATTGGTAAATATTTATCTGATATCAAACCAGTTAAGTCTGGCGTCCCACAAGGGAGTATACTTGGACCATTTCTTATTAACATCTATATAAATGATATTGTCAATATAAATCCATCGGCAAAATTTGTAATATATGCTGAGGACAGCAGCATATTTTTTTCCGGCACAAGCAGTGATGAACTTATCGATGTCGCCAATTTAACATTGTCTAAATTGTACGTCTGGTCACGAGATAATGGTCTGAACATTAATACCGAAAAAACAAAAGCCATAATTTTTCGGCCAAAAAACAAGAGTGTAATAATAATGCGAGACATCGTATTAAACTCCGTCCCCATAGAAATCGTCAGCACTTTTAAAACTCTCGAAGTATTATTTTCAGAACGAATATCATGGGATAACCACATTGAACACTTAGCCACAAAACTGTCACGTGTTATAGGACTAATATACCGTCACGGTTCTACCCTGCCCGTTAACGTGAAACTATTAATATACAATGCCCTGTTTCAGTCCCATTTAAATTACTGTAGCCTCGTTTGGAGTAACACGACGTTCACAAACTTGCAGAAACTATATTTATTGCAAAAACGAATATTGAGAATTATTTGTAATGTGCCTTATGATTACCATAGTGAGGGTTTGTTTCAAAAGTTCAGAATTCTAAAAATATTTAACCTCTATGACTATAGATTATGCATCAGCTTAAAACTCGAGAACAAAAAAAATGCGCGTTTCTTGTCAGACTTATCCGATTTAGTGCCAAACGATCACGTCTATTTAACCCGACACATGGAATATTGGAAGGTTACCGGCTGTAAGACAAACTATGGTACACAAACTCTACGTTACACTATACCTAAATTGCTCAACTACCTCGCCAGCAACGAAATTTGTTTAGACTCCGTATCAACTAAAGATTTGCGTTCATTCTATTTGCGCTTGTGATTCTTCATCTATGCCTACTATGTTACCTATTATCTACTTGTTTGTTTGAACTGTATAATATGATTTTTAGGGCTACAACAGTGTCTACTCTGTAGTGTTTATAATAATTCTGATGAAGTTTTTTTGTCTTTCTTATGTATACGCGTGTGTGCGCTTCTTCTTTTTTTTTTTTTTTTTCTTTTTTTTCTTGTGCTGCTGCGCCTGTCACCGTATGGGGCTTCGGGCTCGTCAAGCCTCCTTTGGAGGCTTTTTCCCTTCTGCCCCTCCAATTCGTTTGGAAAATAAAGTTATTATTATTATTATTATTGTAATCCGTTACATTTTTTTTTTAACCAGCCCCCCCCCCCTTTTTCTAAAGAAATAGTCGTTTTCATTTTGGTAAAGTTGAGCGCTGTGACACTTTAGTGACGCAGTGGCGCAAAGGGAGGCTTGGCACTCTTCAGTTCCGCAAAGCCTTTAGTTTTTATTTTTTTGCAACACCAAGCCTCTGAATCTACTTTTTTTTTTAGACCCTAACAACAATGTCAAAAGATCCAAATTAACATTTCTACAAAAAAAAAAGGGAGAGGCAAGTTATATCCGCTTCTTTTAGTTTTTTCTTTGCGATCAAAGGCAGGGAGAGGAGGACACCAAGTGATTGTGTGCCTCTTCGAGAAGCTCAAGGCGATAAGTGCACAGACAAGAATTAACAATGTCCTTCTCGGTTATAGTGACTAGGACCATTTTCATAATGTCACAACACAAGACAACGCGCCGCCTAAATCCACTAAAAGGGATGTGGTAATATGTGAAGGTGTTATTGCTACAAGCATCCTCGTTCGTCGATGCGCACTTATCATCTTCTATTAGAAAACAAGATGTATTTTTTTCCTGCTTCTTTCACCTTATTTGACCCGGTTTTAAAAGATATTTACTTTTTTTTTTGTAGTCCAACTTTTAGGGTTGGTCTACTTTATTTGTGAATTGCAGCCAGGTTATCTGCATCTCAGTTACCCTATTTGTGAGTGAGCTTTTTGCGAGCACTTCGAAAATGGTAACAGTCTTCCTTTTTTCTTCCTGTCTTTACCCCAGCAGGACGCATCTTATCTGAAGCAGATAGTTTTACAATTAAAGCATAATGGTGGCTAACGTAGACTTGATATTCTGTGCTGGAGGAGTGAGTGAAACTCGTGAGCGGGGCCATAGCGCGGCTTACTCAGTACTCTGCTCTTCGCTGCCCGTGGCATCAGCGAACGTCTATCTGGAGAACACCGGAGTAAACTGCAGTCGGTCCGCGCTCCGTGCGTTTTTGAACGGCACCAAGAAAGGTACACATGTGAAACGTGCGTTCACATTTTCTTGTTTTAACCAACGTTCTGATTAATTGTTATGAGCGTCCGTTTTTTTTCCCCCGATTACTTATATTTAAATATTGGAAACTTTTTTTTTCAAATTCACCAATGTCTCAGCCGAGGCTCGGCCTGTTCATAACCAAAGGAAGAAGAATATCGAGCCAAACCTTATTTATTATTTAATTATCACCTTACTGTTCCCAACTCTACTAAAACTCTCGAATATCAGGCAACGGCTGCAACGACGAAGCTTAGCTCTGTCTTCGAGGTAAATAGCACTTCCATTGCTTCGATGAAAAAGCTCAATGAAGAGCATAAAAAATTCGTGAGGCACAATATGCCACTCCCATCCAGTGCCACAGTTCAAAAGGTGTTCAGCGTAGCAATCGACATATTGAGTAAGGAATAGCGCAAAATGTCTAACGAGACTTTCGAGAATCAGGTATTACTCAAAATACTCAAGGTCAATAAATGGAACAGGTGGCAACAATAAGAACTCGAATAACCTCCTTTCCTTTGTTTCTTAATTGAGGAAAATAGTGTTGAAAGTAACGCCACGAAAGTAACGGATTACTTTTGGGGGTAACGGTCACTTACTTTTATGGGAGGGTAATTGTAATTGTAATAAATTACAATTTAGCCTTGAGTAATTGTAAATGTAATTCTTTACTATTTTTCAGTAACGTGTACAAGTCTGAGTGGAACCGCTTTTCACTCGTATGTTTCCACAGGTCCTGTTTCTTTCATTGTTCGAGAGAGTTTGCCGGACCCTAGGGGGAGAGGCATCAAGCACAGGGACTGCCAAAACATGCATGCACTTTGGCTTGGGGTCGAGGAAATGTTCTGTCGCGCGGCCTTTGTCACTCGCCGGTGATACTTGTCGCCTTTAGGTAACGGACGTTCCCTCTAAATTTTTTTTGTGTCGAAGGTCGCGGAAGCCCTGGTCGACCTCATTCATAGCTTCCACTAGTCACAAAGTCACAAACATTATGTTTAAGTTCAGAAAGGACCAGGAACATTCTCATTGTTATTTTTACCGGCTTGCATTTGTGACCCGAAAGCTTCTCTTTTTATGCTTTGGGGGGGGGGGGGGGGGGGGGAGGGGGGAGGGGGGATAACCAGGCAATGGTGTTTGTTTTGCCCCCCCCCCCTCCCCCCCTTTTGGTGGCTCTTAGAAGTTTTGTGGTTTCCTTTGGTGCTCTTAGGCCGGGTGAGCCTGGCCACCCCGGCTCTATATAGACGCCAATCACAAGCTTTAAAGCTGAATACAGATTAACGTTACTTTAGATACATTTCGCATAACTATGTTTGCTTGCCTGATAGGCAAATATGATTAGCCGAGGTAGAGGCAGCACCTAAATTGTTTTCTTTAAATATTACAAGATGAGATTTGCTTACCTTGTCCTGACTCGCCTGGTTGCGAGTCTGCGAATACACACACACACGCACAAACAAAAATTAGATAATATAAAACTGCATTTATTACTTATATTTGTTTTCTAGCTAATTCTGTAAACTAGAATTTCGCCTGTTCAATTTCTTACAGCGAGACCGAGGAGAACGTCGAGAAGGAACAAGTGCGCACCACGTTTTGTTTTCATTTTAATCACGAACTAGTAGCCATTAAACCACCAACGTGAACACTAAGTCGGCGGGATTTCTTGCTGACGTGGCCATAAAACTGGGGATTATTTAACAACAACACAACTCCCACTCCAGCTTAGTTCTAAAATTAACTCAATTAGTGGGACTAACCGACGTGCCGCATATCTCTGAGGTGCAAGGCATTTGGAGACCGGGATATTCGCAATACGGTTAAGAACGTTTGAGCAGGATTTTCAATGTGGACGAAATGATTAGTTTTTAGAATATCAGCTCAGTATCCTTGGATATCAAAAGGCCTGTTTGTGCTGTACTCTTCAATTTAGTTTTCTGATTATTTATAACAATATCAACCTGACAATGTCACTGTAGCATCCAAAAAGAGCCGATAGGGTGAAGTGGATTAAAAGCCTTGAACCGCAATGTTGAATAACGTCGCTCTAAATAAATTACTTTAGACAATGTCATCTCGCCTGATAAGCGGTTATGTGGAGCCAACATATAGACTAGCCTCAGATATGACATGTGGCTTAGCGTTGGACAATATAGTAGTACGCATTACTTACCCTCATATTCCGTCAGTGGCCCATGGTGATGTCCTGCGCATCCACACAAGCCGGCAAAATTTAGAGGCAAGATAGAACCTCAACTATTATAGAGCCCAGCTCTTAGGCGCCCGTTGCCGGGTTGAGCGGCGTTGCCGTCGCCGTCGCCGTTGCCGTCGGCGTAATCGCGCGTTACATTGGACGTTTCCCATAATGACGTCACACGTGATTTCACGTGCGACGTCACGAGGGTAACATTTCCCCGCAATATCTTGCGAGAAATATTTTCGGTAAATTTAGCCGGAAACGTTTCCGCTATATTTAGCTGGAAAAGTTTCCGTTAAATTTAGCGGGAAATCTCTCCGCTAAATTAGAGCGAAAAATTGTACCCTCGTGACGTCACACGTGACGTCGCGTGTGACGTCACGTGAATGAATTTGACGTCACGTGAAATATAGCGGAAATATTTTCCCGCTAAGTTTAGCGGAAAAAGTTCCCTGCTAATTTTAGCGGGGAAATTGACGTCACGTGACCTCGACACCAATTCAGTTTCCCCTAGCGGGAAAATATTCCCGGTATATGGGGGAGGAGGAGAGAGGGATGGCAGGATACTGAGGGCAGGAGAAGCAAATCCTCCTGTCCGTTCCATCCCTTCCTCCTCGTCAAGAGCTGTGCTCTAATTCGGCGTTACCCAGAATTGTAAACATCTTTAAATTTTTTATGTGTTACCTAGTCAATACTTTAAAAGAGAAAGGTATGTGGTGGCCGGGGTTATCGAAATACAATTAAGACATTTTAAGCAGGACTTTCGAAATAGACTTAACGATTAGGGTTCGCAATACTAACGAAGTATCGTTGTACCTGGAAAGGCGTGCTATTGTTTGGTACTGCAATATGATACTGTGATGTTTGTTATTGAGCGCAGCATGGTAGAGTGAATGTATCGACCACAACGCCTAGTTATAGAATCGTGATTCAAATCCTTGGACCTGGACGAAGAATAACGTTGCTCGGCATAAATATTGCACGACAATGCCAGCTTCTCTGATGGGTGATTATGATTAGCCGGAACGTAAAAAAAACATTCGACATTTTTTATCGTTCGACATTAATATGTGAGAATTACTTACCGCTTGATCCGCCTCCCGTGTCTGCGCATAGACGCAATGACGATTTAGAGACGACATGAAAGTATATATATATATTTGCAAGTCAATTTTTTAAATAGGTAGAGAATTTCGGCTGAAACTTAGTTTCAAATTGCACTCAATCATAGGGTTAATTTACGTGCCACACATCACTGCGGTCTGAGGCATTTAGAAGATGGGGTTACCGCCATACAGTTCAAGTGGGTTGAGAACGCTTTTTAACTTGAACCAAAAGATTAGACTGAAATATCCGATGAGCATTTTTCGACCTCAAAAGGCCTGCTAGGGTTTTGCTCCCTCATTCAGGTTTGTGCTTATTGATACAATATCAGCATATAAGAACTAGTAGTAAACAAATAGATTCAATATAGTGTACTGAACCAAAAACATTCAAACAAAATGAACATAACGTTGCTCTATAAAAATTTGTCTAACAATGCAAGCTTGCCTGACAGGTGGTTATGATTAGCCAATATATAATCTGGCACTCCAAATTACCTTTTTTGCTTAGGGCTGAAATTTATAGCAGTGAAAATTACTTACGCTCTTCATATTCAACCACGCCTCCTCCTGCGCATACATACATAGGCACAATTTAGAGACAACATAAAACCACACCTATCCATTTACGTTTCCTAGGCAACACTTGAAAATAAAAAAAGACAGTACCCCGACTCCGACATGCATACAATTTTAACTCAATCAGTAAGCTTATTAGCGTGCCAAGGAACACTATGGGGTTAATTGACGTGCCATATATCACTGTGATCTTAGGTATTTTGAAGCCGGTGTTATCGCAAAATATTTCAGGAAAGTTGAATACAAGTTTCAACATGGACCGAAGGATTTTACTATAAACCAGGGGTTTCCAAACCCTGGCCCGCGGGTCAGATCATGCCCGCGAAAGCCTTCCGACCGGCCCGCGGCTCGCCGCGGTCTTTCTAACTAAGCCCGGCACACGGACCGCTTGCAGAAGACCCGCTGCCATCGGTGCACAATGAAGTGTGCGTGAGGAAACGGCGCTACGACGCCCTTCAAATTCATAAACTCAGATTGGAGAAATTGGAAAGCAGAATCGCACCCTGTGAAACAGCTGTGAAAACACAGCTTTGTGGTACGTTCGTTTTGTTAGAGAGCCTTTCGTCGCCTGCTCTGTCACAGAGAATCAGGTAGCAACCGCCTGCTCTACTACTATAGCATAATGTTTTAGAACAGCGGCCTCCAAGTTTTTTGGCTCAGGAGCCGGATTAGGGATCTGTCGCAGTCTAGAGGGCAAGAGAAAAAGAGTAATTATGAAAGAGGAAGAACTAATTAAACAAACGTGGATAAGCATTTCAACACAAAAATTATTGTTAGAATATTAAAAACAGCAGGCTATTGTAGATCAATGTGTATACCTCTATACTTCAATTGCAAATTTTATATTTAACTAATTGTGACTTTACACGAAAATTGTGACCACGAAAATTCACCAGGCATGAATTAAAGCGCACGGGAAATTTGTCTCATTCGCCTAGTACAAAAAACTAATGAGGATGATAAAACTAAGGCTCATAAAATGCAATAGTCGTGACAAGGGACACTAAGCAGATTGTACATCAGAAAGCCAACAAATTTTAACTAAGTTTCAGAGACATGAACCAAGGGACTAAGAATGGCGATGCTGGTGACAATTTTGATTCAATTTTAGGCTGAAAGGATTTGCGTTAGAATGCGGTTTCCGTCGTTCTTTCTGGTATCTTCGTTTGCGGATTCGGAGCGCGTTGCAGCGCCGTTTCTTTATGTGCACTTCATTTAGCGACGGTAGCAGCGGGTCTGCTGGAAGCGGGCTGTGGGCCGGACTTAATGGGAAGAGCCGCGACCATCCGAAGAGCGGTCGGAAGATTACCAGTGGCCGGATCCGCTGGTGTTATATATGAGCAGCGTCGACTGGGGTTGTGCCGCTTGTAGGCACTGTTGGCGCTATCTCTGAATTAGCTGGCAAACATGGCCGTCGGTCAATACCTTCCCGGCAGCTGCCGCCACGCCATTGAGACAAACACGTTGAAAACGCAGAATTTTATTCAAGATACTAACGAATCTGTATGGCGTCACTGCTCTGGCTTTGCAATTAGAGCTCCGTAAGCCAACTCAATCTGTCATGTATTTTTGCGCTTTTGTCAACATCTTCTGCGTGAAAAAATCCCCATTAAACGTCCACTGTATTTTGTTTTGTGGTATATAGTGAATATTGAATGGCAGTTTAAAAGTGAGGAGTGTGCATGCTCAAACTTTCAAAGCCACTCGTAGTGGACGTGCGCTTAACGTTCATAGCTCACTTCACTGCCCCAGAAAGCTGATTTCGAGTTGTTCCCCGCCAAGGAAACAACCTCTGATTGCTAGCATTTTCAGTGTTATACCTCTTTTACCACGCTTTTCAAAGCGATGAACACGAACGCATCATTACATACATCGTAACGACATGCGACCTTCTTATCAAGGATAGCAATTATACTGCAATGGGTGGGTACGGTCATGTATTGCAGTCATATCTCAAGGGAAGGCCTGCTCATTCCGTCATGTTTAGCAGATCCCGGACTTGCCTCAACCTGCAAACACACTAAAGCTGGACTAGAGTTACTGCAAAGTGGCAGACCGTACTACGTCTTCGTGACGCTGCGTGCTAGTGTTGCGGTCGTTGAAAGTCTTTGCGACATGCGTTGGGGACGATACTGACGGGAGCTAGGGGGCGCTGCGTGCATCCACGAGGGTTCACTGTTGGGGGGAAAGACGCACGCCTTGTGAAGAAACACACATGCAAATTGTAAGAAATGTAATACCTCGTATTCGTTGATTTATTTTAATTTCTTAAACAATAAGCGCTGGGATATTCTGCGTGATATTGCTAAATATTGACAAAATGGGCACACCTGACTTCACAAAAAAAAAGACATGCAGTGATATTCCAAAGTTTAGTTGCCTGTTACTATGACATATACTGACGTCGATTACTGATTAGCCAGTCGGCTAACACCCTCGTTTCTAATATTTTTTTATTAAATATATAACTTGTAATTTTCACAAACCATTATAGGATACATTAATTCAACGTGTTGTAACGAACGATTTCACTATGAGCCTTTTTTATGTAAGGTATATTGACGACATGTTAATGCAGTGGCACACTCAATGCAGTGACACCTGCGCGCAATAAATTAATTACGCTATCACCCTTGGCTTTTAATGTTCTCCTAGGTCGTTTAGTATTGAATGTGCGACCCACAAATAAACAAATTAATTTTGAATAAAGACAAGGGGCCTATAGCAGATGCGTCGAAAGCAAGAACGAAATAACTGAATATAGCTGTAGTCAAGAGCTTGATATTCTATGGAATGGTTAACTTTAACCTATAATTTTGAGACCTTTATTATTATGCTTAAAGAATGAATGTATTTGGCCTTGAAATAAAGCATACTTTTTTTACGATTTAGTACTACTCCAAGTTATTGTGTTTTAACAGAAATATAACAGTTAAAGGGAGGAGAGTTACGAAGTTCTAATCTACGTATCTAGACTATTACAAGATTTCGATAGATTAGTGAATTTAACATATGTCATGCAGTGCTTCGATCGCGGCATCCACGGGCAATGAGCGAATTTAACATAGCATTTTAAATTTGCTTGATCTATCATTCTATGTCTAGAACAGCCAATTTGATTCTGGTAGGTCCTATTGATGTGTTACATTCATATACTTCTTTGGGATCTTATGAAGGGTGTCAGCCTGTCAGTATCACCGCACTGACAAGACCCCCAACCCGAAAGCAGATTAACATCGCTCAGAATAAACATGATATCACGAATTGTTGGCTCCCCTAATGCACGTTCACGAACCGCCACACGCCGGCTAATATTACGTATGAGACTTTGTTTAGCCGTAGACACTAGGGAGAAGAAATTTGTTTGTTATACTTCAGCAGATTATCGAGAAATATATCGCAACGGACTAAGACTAGTGGCTGTTGTAGTCTAACTAGACAGAATTCGTTCTCTCTTGACCCTCTGATGAAGTCCATTTACAAAAACAATAAAGCGCAATGTGCTAATGTGGGACATGGGAGGATACGTCCGTGCAAGCAAAAGTATTTCAACTCACGAGAGACGCAGTGTAACGTTTAGAGAAACGTGGGCTTACCGCCACCTGCACCCATGGTGTGCGCAATTGCAAGGAGGACGCAGATGGCTACAAAGGTTGCCTTCATCTTGGGCAGTAGATATGAACGATGCCGTTGCAAATTTTTGTGCGGGTTTATATAGTGCTCCGCCAGCATAGAAATAGTTAGTTTGTTTTTTGTATTTTTTTAATATTTATGGAAATGCGACGCCGCATAGGCTTATTGTCTTCTGATTACGTCGGGTAACACGATAAGCAGAACCATTCATTGTTCACCCCGAGTTATGCTGTGAACAATCGTTTCTGCATTGGTCATTGGAAGGCCGCCGAGGAGTAACTACGGCAAAAGGAGATTCGCGGAAAAGACAAAGGGACTTCAACGACGAGGTTGGCATGCAAGCCCGTGACAAAAGTGCTTGGATCGACCAGAGAGGTGACTCAAGACCAGTCGCAGGTGTTACCGAAAAAAGTAACGACATATGTAACGCAGTATTTTGCAAATAAAACGAACGTTTTACCAACTTCATTGCCTCTAAATAATAGAAACGCCTTACCAATAAAAAGTGACACATGTTACTTAAGCATTACGTTTTCTTTATAAATTGATGGTAACAGCGTTTCTTCTTGGTGACAGCGTTTTAAGACAATGGGTGTGGGCGCTGGTGTTTTTTTGAAGTGGGACTTTTTTCGTGGGTAAAAAAAAAGAGGCCAAATTTTGAAAGTGTGGGGAATGAGTGCAATAATTAATGACTTGGCGCTTATACTTCGTTTCACTTTAAGTCAACATGCAGCCGATGCGACAAGCCAATGGGACCAATCAAGCGGTGTCTAAATCGCAAGTAACTGGCCTTTTTTGTTTATGATTTGTTAGCGATGATAGAAAACCTACAGAAACATGACGAACACTATGATGGTGCTTATTTGACAATGTCTGACTGGTCCCATTAGCCCATAGCCTCGTCTGCGTCTTAACTTAAAGGCTGACGTACGCTTCGCACTTTCCACTTTTGTCCTCCCCGTGCTTTCATATATCCTCTCCACTTTCTGTCTTGCCCCAGCTTGACTCCCCTCGCAGCTTAGAAGAGCGGAGCGCTAAGAGGATTATTTTCCTTGCAGAAAACCGAGGTTCCATGTCGGCCTTTAGAAAAATTAAGTATAGAAACACGAAAAATGTAAGTGTACTTTTTGAGATCTTAGAAAGAAGTGATCAGTAATGAAACCGCGTTACCCGTTACTTGAAATAAGTAACGTATGTTACCCCTTACTTCAAATAAGTAAAATAAATATGTTACCCAATACTTGAAATAAGTAACGTGAGTCTTTTGCGCATTACTTGAACCGACAGTGACACCGACAGCGACAGTGGAACGTCAGTATTCTACTTGATGTAACTTAGGTATGTTACCTTTACTTAAAATAACCAATGTCGGTATGTTAATAAAAAGAAGTAACTTAACTATATTACTTAAAATAAGTAACGGAACTATATTACCCTTTAAATTTAAATCACTAGCGTATGTTACCCGTTACAAACGAAGGCCTAGCGGCCTTCTTTTGTAACGGGTAACGTACGTTACTGAACTAACAGCCCCGTTTGTAACGGGGCTGTTTTCAAAAGAAGGCGGTTAGGTTCCTAGATAATTTGGGTTATATTCAGCACACACCGCCCACATTCGAAAAACACAATCTATTACCCATCGGACATGTTTTTTCTATTAAATTAGCGAACATTATATTTGACGAGATAAAGCGGGATGAGACCTCTTTTTTCAACGCCTACCTTCATAAGGCAGCCGATTACACTCTTAGACACACCTTTTACACCAAACAAAACGGTAGAACAAACTATGGTACTCAAACACTTCATTATCCAATTTCTGACTTACTAAATCGTCACGCAAATATAGTTCAAACGGTACACAAATGTAACAATCTCCAGATGTTTAAGAAAATGATCAAATTGTATTTTCTTTCAATCGAATAATAAGCGCCTGCCACTTGTGCCATTAGTTCAAATGTGCAAATGTGATCAATTATATTGTATGTAACAGTGTTTGTTCTTTTTTACTCAACTGTGTGACTCTTCAGATATTTTCATCCGTGGACTTATTTTGATGTGAATTAGGTAACTGATGTTCTTTTTTTTTTCGGTATCCTTAGAGGTAAGTGCCGAGTGCTGTAATGGGGGCTGGTGGCCACGTCAGAGGACGTCGCGTCTTCTTTTGCCGCAGCCTCCTAGACATATGCATGTCGAAATAAACTTATTATTATTATTATAAATGAAATAAGTAATGTAAGTATGTTACCCGTTACTTGAAATAAGTAAAAATAGGTGCAGGGTGTCCCAAGTCACCATGTTCGATCTAAATGGACCGTAAGAATCGATGTCTGGTCTTAGCAATCTAAACTTTAAAAAAGATGTATTTCACAGGTCGCTTTTTATGTAAAATTACAAAGCGTAGCTTTCTTTCTGTAAAAAAAGTAGGACCACATCACTTGCCAGGAACAACGGCGGGCCGCGACCGCGACGCAGACGACCAAGTCGAGTATCGGGGCGCGTTTGGCGCTCGTATTGATAGATGGCGCTACCTCCTTATCGAGACTGCTTGAGACCACCGTGGTTCATTAAAAGGAACATAATCTTTTTGTAATGTACCTTTGGTTAAAAATTATTGCGGACAAAAAAACAAACAAACAAAAATCTTGAAGTAAAAAAAAAACGCAGTTGCATTACGACGGCGTTCTTGCTGTTGACGGATTTTGTCTGCGTGTCGTCTGTCTTCTTTCGCGGGCCGGCTACACCTTCGGACGCTGCTTCCGACCTCCAGACGCATAAATCAATATGTGCGCCAAACGCGCCCAGCAACTTAACTTGGTTGTCTGCGTCGCCACCCGCCGTTGACCGTAGCAAGCTTTTTTGGTCATATTTTTTTACACAAAAGGAGCTACGCTTTTTTAATTTTTCATGAAAAAACCGCCTTGTGAAATACACCATTGATGAAAAGTTTAGATTGCTACATGCGGGCGTCGATTTTTACTGTACATTTTAGATCGAGCCTGGTGACTTGAGACACCCTGTATTTCCCCCGTTACTTTAGGTAACTAACGTAAGTTACCCGTTACTTGAAAAATGTAATGTAAGCTTGTCACTCGCTACTTTATAAGGGTAACGTATATAACTCGTTACTTGAAATAAGCAACTTAAGTGTGCTACCCGTTACTTCAAGTAAGCAACATATATATGTTACCTGTTACTTAAAAAAAAGTAATATAAGTATGCTACCCGTTACTTGAAATAGGTAACAAAAGTATGTTCACCATTAGTTGAAATATGTAACATAAGTATATTACTCGTTGCTTGAAATAAGTAATGCGAATACGTTACCAATCACTTGAAATAAGTAATTCAAGTAAGTTACCCTTACTTTAAATAAATAACACGCTACCCAATATTTGAAATAAGTATAATGTACGTATGTTACTTGTTACTTGAAATAAGTGGCATAAGTATTTTATCCTTTATTTAAAATAAGTAACATAAGTATGTTACTCGTTATTCGCAATAAGCAACGCAAGTATGCTATCCGTGACTTGAAATAAGTAACATAAGTGCATTAGACGTTTCTTTAAATAAGTGGCATAAGTATGTTTCTCGTTATTTGGAATAAGTAATGTATGTTATCTGTTGCTTGAAATAGGCCGTGTAAGTTACTTTAATAAAGTAATGGCAAACATATTTACACTTATTGCACATTGTGTATTGTGTGTCTTTTGCCATAGTAATTTGAATCCTGAGAGAACTGCCCGTCGTACATTGAGGTACAAGGTTATGAAATTTCACCAATATACAATGGGTACGGGGAAAATACGAGGACGTTTTATGTTCCATGGATTTTAATGCCTTGCCAGTTTAAAATATTTCAATCGAAGCCTTTTTTACCAGAAAAAAAGAAACTGGAAGAAGTTGTATAATGATCGGCACCAATATTTTCAAATTTAAGTGCGGCCAAGGTGGCACACAGTATTGCGCCTATGTTTGTGTCAAATCAGAAAGATTTGTGCCTATATCTTTTTATCCAGCCGATATCTGTGAAGCATCAGATGCGACGCCTTCCTGACGTACAGTATTCGCCGCCGTTTTTCGCTGAGTGTAAGAAGAGTCGTTTGTGAATCGGCTATGTTGGAAAGATATGCGTATTTCCTGACCAACTCAAACCCAAGCTCGAAAAAAAAAAGAAGAAGAAAACACGCAATTTTCTCACTTTTAGCCCGAGAAGGGCAGACAAAGCAAGCAGGGGCATCTTAGCTGTGTTGACCATCTCCCTTCGACCTCGCCTCTTGTTAAGCCTCCCCACCTTCTTTTGTGCCTCTCTGTGGCTCTGAGCGGGCGCGACGGCTGCTTCAAGCAAATCAGAAGAGGTGACCCGAAACACGTGAGCGCTCTTCGTGGGACAAAACGGCTTAGACAAACATGTGTCACATGACTTGCTCTGACGCGCCGATGGGCTGTAGTCTTCGCCGCTTGCCAGGTTATAGAGATCGCTAGAGGGGCCATGTAGGTGACGTTTCCGAAATGCACCCTCCGTCAGTGCTCTGTTGCTTTCGTGCGTTGCAGACGCGGCCATAGTTTTTCTTTATAAACGGCCGGAATACGTGCATGCTGACTTTTCGGTAATGGCCGCTTACTTTGTCGGAGACCGTGGACTTCTTGTGCTCTGTTTGTTGGACGCGCTTTGACCAAGAACTGCCGGCGAAAGCGAGGCTTTTGTTGAATTACATATTCCACCTGCATGATGGGGGTTGCACGGTTTATGGGTCTTTTTCGCAATGCGACCATCGAGGTGACAAAAGGCTTGATCGTATGAAAACGTCTCCGTTTTTCCTCCTGCTCTCCTCTTCTCCAAGCATAAACGCAGCGCATGCACACTTGAGATCTATCGCAGCGAGAGTCCGCCATTAAATTGCAAACGCTTCTCGTGGTTTAGATTTATCATCTATTCAATCCAGGTTCTCTATCGGTTTTTGACGACGGTAAGTGCCCTGGTGACGGGTTAAACTAAAATCAGTTTAAATTGGCTGAAACGTTCA